GCCGCCGGTTATCTGGCCCCTTTACAGGCCGCTGCAAAATGATGGCGGCGTTCAACAACACTCATTCGTTGTTTCACTGTTAATGTTATAGATTGTACAAATACCCTGTGATATGCATTAGATGAAAGTTCGATATCGACACTTTAGTTGTCCTGATATATACCATAGCTACTCAGAAGAAGTGAAAGGACTCCCTATTTTTTTCATATGACTATAGGGGCGGTCGGGTAGCCTAGCGGTTAAAGCGTTCGCTCGTCACGCCGAAGACCCGGGTTCGATTACCGACATAGGTACAATGTGTGAAGCCCATTTCTGGTGTCCCCCGCCGTGATATTGCTGGAATATGGCTAAAAGCGGCGTAAAACCATATTCACTCACTCACTCACTCACTCATATGACTATAGTGAATCTGTCATGGCTGGTTAGTATTGCAACACACAGCATTCCAATTATGGTGGTCTTCAACTTGTTTTGGGTAGTATACATGTACACTCTATTTTCACAGTATTCTATGAACGAGGTATCATTGGAGTTTTCGATAGCGGTCGAATACAAGAATGATTTGTGACGGGATTAAGATATTGTATCATATAAGTAGCACTGTGATGATAAATAGCTTACTCGTCTCACAGTGTGATGCTCTTACCGATGTCATCATTGTGACTAAGTCAATAGCCAGTCATCTTTAAGCACAACGTACACGCAAAGGCCCGTGCAAGTAAATCAATATGCATAACCACGGAAATGAAGTTGACACGGAATTATAATATGCTTCTAGATGGACGGGCAGACACACAGTTCTGTATTACCCACGTGGTGAAGATACAGATATTAAATCCGTACGTCACACGTGTGGTAGAAGGTTGACCTTGTTTTATTCGTTTTGATTGGTAAACCGTGACCTCTGTCACCCCGGGACCACTTTTTTCATTCATAAAAAATCGCGAGAGAACGAGAGATATTTACAAACACTTGATTTAACCAAACAAGATAGTCACACACATCAAATTCAGTTTGCATTCTATATAAGTTATGCATATAGCTTCTACAGACATTATATAATCGAGCTATATCCATTTTCAATGTACGACTACCGATCAATAGAGCGAGGGTCTCCATGAGCGTGACGCACCCGACCACTTTCGCAACTTTCAATTCGATTTAACGTAAAAGGATAAGCGAGGTGAAATTAAATCAGTTTGAGCTATCTGGACAAATATCTAGACTTACTTGGGAAATACGGTTGTGCCATCAGTGTCCCCTTCGAAGCGTATTTTGTGTCACTGTTTCAGAAGTTGTTTGTTCACGACTGCACAACCAGATCACTCAAAGTGAACACCTCCGATACAAATCACTCGAAAACTCCGTTGAAGTGTGCCTGACTTCTGATTATGTGGCCCAAATTATCCCAAATGTGAACAATAACATTCCCTATTCCCTAGCGTAAAATGCTGTGAGTAGATCACGGTTGTCTTTACTTATTCCGGTGGTGACCTTGCCCTTCGATAGTTCGAAGTTGTCACTGACATGCAAGCAGACTTGAGTTAAAACGTCTCCAGTATAGGGTGGTACAGTTAACATGAATGTCTTGGGCGAACACTCTGATTCCCTCCAAAATGGTACGGACATGATATCAATTCATCTGATAGATTAAGGAGACCGAACCATTTTGATTGCATAGACGCAATCCACACAGTGCGAGTGACCGACTGTTGGTCCGATATTCCGACGCTAATGTGTCTTTTCAAATTTTCTTATAGGTGTCCTGCGTACTAACAACATGACGCTTGAATTACCACAAGTTGAAGAAATTCTTCCAAAGGGATCTTGAGCGTCGGTGCTGTTTTGTTTGCAAATACAACGGCAGGCGCATGTTGTTAATGCGTATGCATAGAATTGTCAACAATGTCCATATTTGGGCATATATCAATATTCATGCACAACCAGATTTTAAAACCGGTTTCAGTTTGGCCTGTAAACGAACGAAAGTTGTCATGTATTTACACTTAAATATATGTTTAACGTTGGTAATAAATAAAATACCACACTCTTTCACGTTTGATACCATTTTTACGAAACTTTCGCTCAGTCAGATGTATGTGCTTAAAAATATATTTAAATTGCAACTGATTCCGTGGCATTTGATTGGCTAACCAAGCAAAATTGTATGCGTTTATGTTTCCATAAATCTAAAAAAGGAATAAGCCACACCTACCAACGGAAAGGTGTTTTCTGATTGGCTGATCATAGAAAGGGCGGGACGTGTGTTGCATAATTGATCTGAACGATGTCACAGATTTCGTACTGTTGTCAACAGTTATTTTTGTTTAAATAAATAAATAAATGAATAAATAAATAAGTACTCTGTGAGGAAAACATTATTGACCTATTTATTTATAAGAATTGACTTCAATATGTATACTTACTGCCAAAAGAAACGCGAACCATAGAAATATATAGGGACGTATGACCGTTAAGAAAAGCTGTTTCCAGTGTGTACCACTTAATGACAAAACTAACAATCAGTCAAATGTTATTTATTATTTTTTTATCACGATATGCTGCATGTGATTTCCAAACTTAACACGCTGATCCAGCACGAAAGAAATTGTGCTTCTCGATTCATGGATCTATGACGTCACGTGTGATGCTTTCATGAGCATCGGTTCACAAACATACCAGTATGTTCGTGTGTGCATCGGACCAATCTTATATCTCTTGAATATGAGTAAGTCTTCATATATTGACCAACATGTATGGTATTCGCGTTTCTTGAGTGGGTGAGTAAATTATAAACGTAAAATCTGGCGTGAACACTTTGCGTAAATCTGCTACGTAGCGGATTTGGGGATCGGGTGGTCAGGCTCGCTGACTTGGTTTATGCATGTCGTTATTTCCCAATTGCGTCTATCGATGCTCATGATGTCAATGACTGGATTGTCTGGTCTAGACTCATATAGATGGAATATTGCTGAGTGCAGCGTTGATCAACAAACAAACCAATCGAAACGTAGCGGATTTATGCATAGTGAACACACCAGTCCTTACGTTATTAAACGTTTTTAAACGTAAACCATAGTTAAGTCAATTCTTTAATAAATCCAGTAGATGTGTTTCATTGCCAGTCAGATTTGATAATAAATTGTCCCAACATAAAGATGCCGGGTCAGAATAGGTCTCCCCACCCTACCCCACCTCACCACACCCCACCCTACCCACACCCTCGCCTCCATCCACGCACCCCACCCCACCCTACCCCCAGTATCTTATAGTGGCCTAACATGAGGATTTGGGGGTCAAGCTATGCGATATGGCTGAATGTGTGTCATCGTACACGCTGAGGTGGCTCATGTTTGTAATCATTAGTTTGCGGGGCCAAAACTTATTTATTTACAGGCCGCCGTTATATACTAGGGTAATTTGTTTTATACCAGAAAAACATATTGTTTGTGCACATCTCCCCTTGTACACAAAGAAAAAATAATAAATTCACATTCGCTGTTGGGTTGTAATACTATGAATTTGTCCCTGTACCAAAACTAGTAATATTAAGATACATCGGTATTTCCAAAATATCCGCACCAATTCCTTATCGCTCGATAGAACTGTTTTCGGCTGGGATCAATCCTGTAGGTCATCTCGGCCTCCATTGGGAGACTCCACATTGGTACTTGACTCACTTGACCGCCTCCGTGGTCTAGTGGTAGATCGTCCGCCCGGACAGCGTAAGGTCCGGGGTTCGATCCCCGTCCCCGTCCTACCAAAAGACGTTAAAAGATGGTACTTGTTGTTACCCTGTCTGGCGCTCGGCATTAAGGGGTTAAAACAAGTAGTGGTCGGCTCGGAGTCAGTATACTGTGTCTGAGTGGGGTATTCATGTTAAACTGCGGCATGGTATCTCAGTGAGCTAGTTCAATAAATCGGCATCAGTCCGGACTAGTACAAGCAGCCACACAAACACACACACGTACATGCACGTAGCTATATAAGTGCAATAATCTTGGACGCGACGTTAAACCCAATTTCACCTCACCTCACCTCACTTGACTCACCTGTGTCTCTACTTTGACTGACATTGTGGATAGCGTGCAAATGTTTGAAGTATTAATGTCTGAACGTATAGGAAAATATATGTTATCCTTATCCACAGTTGTAAGGAAATGTGACTTTCTTACATCCTTATCATTTGATTTACAATCCACTACCATATACCACTCAATTTACCGTTAAGATGGCCCAGGTCGGGGACTGAGTGTAATTGGACTGTTTGTGATGTCGACAAACATTGTAGTTAATGTCACCATGGCATTCTGAAACAGACATCTTCCCGAGGCAAGTGAGTTAACTGACTATAAAAGTCCAGTTTCCACCCTTGCCGATGTAGGCTGGTATTATGGAGTTACATTTTGGCTGGACTAACGAGTCTATGCATAGTCCAATCAAAATCGCGCACCGAAATCGAAATCCGGTTCGTAAAGTGTCATGCAGATTTCGGTCGACTGCAGGATTTGCAAAGCATGTGCACCGCTAACTCGTTGTCAACAGATATCTTCTAAATCTTTTCATGCTTTTAATCAAGTAGTTCACGTGATTTGATGCACTTCGCGATGTATGACTCGTTTTATCACAATATAGATCTTGATTATCAATCAGATCGTCTTGACGGGGCGCCACCGTTTTGTTTGAAGCAAATGCAAGTGATACGGACGGTTGAATCTGATTTGGTCTCAATAGGACATAACTCGTAATAGCCATTGGTGGCGCTACGATCGAGCCCAGGAATTCCAGCCTTGTTCGGCAAGGGTGGAAACTGGACTTTTAAAGTCAGTTAACTCTCTTGCCTCGGGAAGATGGAAACAGATGGCTGGGCCTGTTGCTGTATTAATATAATTGCAGTCTCCAAAATTAAGTTTTGACAACTTGTTCCATTTCCATATGACATATTGTAATGATTCATAAACAGGGTCACCAACGTGTTTCTATGCACAACAAAAACGTAGTTTTATTTTCATATATTTTATTCTTGAGCAGTCAACAAAAGCAGGAAAACACACTTACATCCATATACACTTACATTACATGTTCTTGCAGTACGACATCTTCTACAAGGAATACATGTTGACATCACATAAAAAATAACCACACATCAGAAATGCAGCTTCGGATTAACAACAGAATAAGCCAACAGTCTCATAACATCAAACACGCCAGGTATTTTGCTGTGGAATACCTGTCCTTCAATAAAATATAAGCAATCCTTTCCGATTCTACAGCGTGGGATTCGTAGGTGGTATGTTAAGAACACGAATGCACAGAGTGAGAGGATAGCGTTTCACTATTCCAGCTGTGTCACATACAGGGTGATCGATGCACGCTTTACACAAATTGCGTTTACTAAAAGCGTAAGTTTAGATTGAAAGACAACCTGAGACAAACTGACAAACTTATATCAACGTTGCTTTTCACACTGAATCATTGATACAAATAACAAACATACACATCCAATATCAAGACATCATAAAAACTCAGCTGGTACATAAAATATACTGGTGAAAGCATAATGTTGAACCTAAGAATGGACTAATCACGGACGTAGTGACACAATGTATGAACAAATACCAATATTTTCATGCAGGCATCAATGAGTTCGACCAGAGATATCTCTAAATAAAACATCAACTCCTTCAACTCCATCAACTCCATCGAAAACTGATCTTCAACACGATGTTTTGAAACAGAAAATGGCAGTCTAAACCGGCGAGAAGGTGTGAGTAAATACGATCTCCTCTCAGATGGGAAAACAAAGCACCTTTGATTTTTTTTGACATATCGATGTAGTGATACAAATATGAACTGAATGATATTTAAACAACAGTGTAATATTGTACTATTCGAGATTGCATGGAAATACGCTATAGGTTTTAAGAAGTGGACGTTACTTGGTCTACTTGTAAGGAGCAGTCCTAATGCCCAGCTTCAAATCGTCCTCATAGTTCCATCTCAAGCTAGAAAACTGTCCAGCTCGCCTCAAACCAATAACTATCTCGGTCGATACCCATCTCACGTTCGGTTATTTCCGTCAAGTCTGGTTATGCCAGCGCCCTCTGTTGGCAGATTGGGTCGATACTTGGAGGAATCCATCTTCTTACCAACGGAATAAGCCGGGTGGATCCGAGTGCAATGCCATTTTCTCGATAGGCTGCTGTGGTTACATGCTCTCCTCAAGGTCTTCAAGTTCAAAATGTCAACGCTAAGAACAATCAGTCCTGATTATCTGCCGAAACAGATTCCAAAGACAAAATAGTGATGAAACTTATATGAATGGATCACTGAAAATCAGTGATGACACCTGGTGTTCGCGAAAAGGGAAAGCATGTCCTTCTTAGACGTCTTCTTAGAGTTATCTTTGGTCGTTCCATGGGGTATTTGTTAGACTCTCCCCGCCTAATCCTTTTTTGGAACAGTGGAGCCAGTGAGGGAGAGGACGCTGAAGAAGGAGTTGCGGAAACGTTCGTTGGCGACGATGTATGAGAAGGGGTACATGAGGACCATGGACTTGCAGGCGAGGGGCGGGATGCAGGCGGCGATCATGGAGACCTGGACGGGGGCGCTGAACAACGCCCACAGACACAAGAAGGCAAATGGTCCCCAGCCAATCACGGTGAAGAGCAGATGTGAATAGCACAGCTGGAAATTAAAGCATTAACATTGTATGTGAACTCATGATACACGTCTGTGTTCCGTTATTGCTCCATCACAAATGAAACATAAGTCGTTATATGTTTTAGTCTCACATGTCTTGTGTACACCGGCCTACATTTTACGTGATGTCTTTCCCGCATGTCTTCCTCCTTCTAGGACAACAACACTATGGTACAACTTCTGGTTACCAAAATGTATACAGGTGACTGTGCTTGTCGTAAGAGGCGACTAACGGGATCGGGTGGTCAGGCTCGCTGACTTGGTTGATGCATGTCATCGTATCCCATTTGCGTAGATCGATGCTCATGATGCCAATAACTGGATTGTCTGGTCAGAACTCGATTATTTACAGACCGCCGTCATACAGCTGGAATATTGCTGGTTGCGGCGTTAAACAAAAATCCAACAGAACAGAATAACATGTATCCATCCAGGGTTGTCTAACTTACTCTACGATACGTTATAACATCTAAGAAAATGAAATGCTGTAATGCAGCTCTAGAATATTGGATTTGACTACTATTCATCTGCTTCGCAAGTGAAAGCCTTAAATCATTTCATCAGAATCCCTGCGGCATATAACATGGAACAGAAGCTAGTGGATACTGGCATTGCTACTGTAAATGTTCGTGATGCCAGTAGATCTGGCTTTCCTTTCTATGTCTTTTTTAAACCTCAGGTTGTAATAGATAGAGATTGATATCAAATAACCAATACACTGCAACCAATACAAACTCCCGATAATAGACTGTCACGTTTTCAGAATCCCACTCCAAGCATAGCCAATATTAAATTTAAAATGAACCAAACTTCATTGTCTACACATTTACTGGAATGTGATCCACGTGATTAAATGACATTAGTGAGTGAGTATGGTTTTACTCCGCTTTTAGCAATATTCCAGAAGTATCACGGCGGGGGACACCAGAAATGGGCTTCACACATTGTACCAATGTCGGAAATCGAACCCAGGTCTTCGGCGTGACGAGCGAAGGCTTTAACCACTAGGCTACCCGACCGCCCCTTAAATGACATTTAGGAGTATTAGCTGTGATTTCCGTTAGCGTTCTTGATCAAACTTTACATGAAATATTCTCCAGTTGAATCACCGCAGATCAATTTGGAAAAGTCCCAAAATTATTACCCCGTAACAGTCACAACCTGTTTATCAAGTCTAGTGTTTCTACCAACCTGGGTCTCGTTAAAAAAAAGGTCATTACGATTTCACATAATAAGCGATGAAAAAGTACGCCACTAAACCGTCATAAAACGTAAGCTCATACCCATTTTAACTGGTCCTCCCTAAATCCAGTGAACGCGTCAACCTGGCTGGATGAGGCAGATGGGGATGGGGCCTGCTGAATCGTGCTACTTTCCCCAGAGGCCCACAGACAGGAGATGGCGATGGCCAGGGGAAAGCCGAAACTGAATATGCACAGCATGATCATGTAGGACGGGTAGCCCTCGTCAGCATCCCTCCAGTTGATGGCGCAAGATGAACCCGTGGGCTCATGGACGTACCTGCAATGAAGGCGTTGTGTGTATATATATATGTGTTAGACACAAGTGTTAACATACAGTTTTGTTGTACATATATTTTATCTATTTGAGGTCCTTTAAGTCTGTAATATTATTTTAAGTTGTTAGTAAAGTAGGTTCTTAGTTCAATATCTATCGTGGGCTTCTGGATTAGTTTACTTATAATGTAGAGGGTGGTTGGGTTGGTCCATGTTTGTTCCATGTTTGTGTCATTGTTTCTTCTCTTGTTCTAACCCAAGCCTTGTTTTCATTTGGCTTGTTCAAACTGTGCACTTTTCTTCCATCTTGCGCTAGATACTAATGTGTGTGTGTGTGTGTGTGTGTGTGTGTGTGTGTGTGTGTGTGTGGCTGCTTGTACTAGTTCGGACTAAGCCGATTTTATAGTGCTGGCCCCTTAATGCTTAGCGCTAGGCAGGGCAACAACAAATACCATTTTTAGCGTCTTCTGGTTTGACGCGACCGGGGATCGAACCCACGACCTTTACCTCTCAGGGCAGACTCGCAATCAACTAGCAAGACTAAGGGACGCGAATGGCGACGCTTTGACGGCTGGGCCAGCCCTCCCATTTAACATACGCTACATTAGAAGTTAGGATAACTAGTTTTCCAATCATTATTTGGGTCTATATTGAACATGGTAATAATGACACATAATATCTTATGACAAAACTGGAATGTAAATCACCGGCAGAACTGTAATACTGCAAGGCACCGAATGAGATTATGATGATTTTACGAATGCTTCAACTTCGTCCCCTTTGATATTTTGTCTGTCCCGCGCTTTTTCGATGGAACCTAATTTTAAATCACGTCGATATTTCTGCACATTTTTTCCCACCAAGAATACCAACAGACGTGATAGCAGTCTGTTTCATATGACGTAGGACATTTGAAAAATGTATTTTTTATTGGTTATAAATATAAGCCTTTACCCTTAACTATGTGTTGAACATCATTCACCGATCATATCTGAAGATGAAACCTTAAGTTAAATGGCTCCTACAGTCCGCGACACGAGATTCCGTAATTTATCCGTAGGTGATATAACTTCTCCTCGACAATTAACAGGCGGCACAGCCTACCCCCGACTCACGACCTCGTGGTTAACATTCGATAAAGTCCTCGTAATAAAACCCAGCCATTTAGTCCGTCCAGGAACTCTACGATTTAATAAACTTTGTTTTACGCAGCTCAAGGCAGTATTCCAGCAATATCACGAGAGCACCCGAAATGGACATCACACAATGTAAACACGGAGAATCAATCCCGTGACTTCGGAATGTCGAGCGAACGCTTTAAAATAATTTTAAACAACATGGTTACCCACCCACCTGGAACGTCATGAAGCATGTTTTATTTCTGTTTTAGTGATCAAATAAACGGTAATCCCCAACCAATGAGGAAGAATATGAAAATACAGTTAATTATTAATTCAACAAACAGATGTATATGGTAAAACCCCGTAAATCCGGACGATAAAGTTGCCCTGAAATTGCCCGTATTAACACATTTCCGGATAAAGGAGAACTGTGTAAGGAGTAATGGCTTTTGTCATTGGTTATCGTCTGTAAGGTGGGGTTTCGGATTATCAGGATCCGGATTAAGGGGGTTTAACTATAACTGAAATGACATACTTGCTCCAGCCAAGAACCGGCATTATGGCCCAGAAAAAGGCATTGAGCCACACAGCAGCTGTCGACAGCCAGTAGAACCCACCCGAGTTGGTCTCCACTGTAACATAAGACACATGTTGAAAACTCCGGGTGAAGCTATTGTTGACGTGTCCAATACTAGTTGATGAATATTGTGATATGAGTTATGACTTGGTATAGAAGACTACAAAACATGTATAGTTTATAAGGCTCGAACCATTTCTTTTTCAGCATAAGCATCACGACGTTTTGGCTTAATAATATCGTAATGAGGATTCTATGTTAGAATAGGTCCCAAGCAACGTAATGCCAACGTAATGTAATCGCTGTATAATTTGGTCCAGAATCGAATATTACAGTTCGCCGTCATATAGCTGAAATATTGCTGAGTGCGACGTTAAATAACAAGAAAACAAAAGTGACGAACCTCTTATGTATGTAGCACTTAATCAGGTGATACCCATGAGAACGGACATGGAGCTGACCTACCATATTTTACAATCGGTTTGAATCTAAGATTCTAAACTAAGATCAGTGGATCCTGACACAGATAAGGGGCGCAACTTTCCATTGAAAACTGCGGGTTACCAAAACGAGCGAGAGACACTTATCATTCTCAAAAGGAGGCTGGAGTTTCTTTTCAGAAAGTTAATAACCAATCACTGAAACTATTTTAATCGATGACTTTTCGAAAGAAGAAGGTCCTTAACTTCTCCTTCCGCTATAGTTACAGTTGCATATAATCCCTACTGTATGCTGTAACTACAGCCATCGAACCACTGAGGAGATTGATTACGAACAGAAATATCTTTCTTATTTGCCCATCAACGTAAAAAGTGTTAAGAACATGTGTCCTTCAAAAACCTACGTGGGCGAAGGAAATTACAACACGTGTTCAAGGGCTGATGTCAACTCACTGGCTTCTTTTCGCGTGGAGACGAGGTAGCGTTCCACACACAGAGCGATCACGTTGCCAATGGCAGCGATCCCCATCATCATCCCCTCGAAGGCGTAGAGCTGACATCCCGTCTCTCCGTACAGCCACCTGGAGAGAGACACGAGAGTGTTGGTAATAGACGACGCTATAAATAAAACATTAAGTTTGATTGTTTGTTTGTTGTTTAACGCCGCACCCAGCAATATTCCAGCCATATGACGGCGGTCTGTAAATAATCGAGTTTGGACCAGACAGACCAGTGATTGACATCATGAGCATCGATCCACGCAATTGGGATAAGATGACATGGATCAGATACGTCAGCGATCCTGACTACCCGATCCCGTTACTCGCCTCTTACGACAAGCATAGTCACCTTATACGGCAACAAGGGTTGCTGAAGACAAACTCTACCTGGATCTTCACGGGTCAGTAAATACTAAAGACCAACCTTTAATTCATGCGGCTTGTTAACAAATTTCATATATATTATCAAAGGCGACAAAACACTTTCCGTAATCAGAGTCGATTATACGATTCCTATGTTATCATAAACGTGTGTTTATGAATCACTATCAAATAGTGATGATACCAGGTGTTCGCGGTATGGTGAGCGTATTCTGTCCTTCTGGCGGCGCCCTTCAAAGGAACATGCAAAGGGCAGTCCAGTGGTCAACAAAACAGGAAATGGCATCAGATATCATTTTGATCACTGATGCGTCATGATTGGAAATGTCGTCTACCATAAAACCTTTCGAAAGCCTAACTGAGGCCTTGAATGTTGTAACCCTGATTAAACAAATTTTGAGCAAGAGTCGGTTAACGCTCTGTTAAATCTTCGTAGAAAGAGCATGTTTGATTAATTGTGCCTCAAAAGCTGTAAAATTAGGACACTTAATCCGGAGCTGTTGGAATATTGCTTGACATGAAGGGAAAGTTGATGACTGGAAAGTTAAAGCCATCCCTCTTGTCATACAGTCTTGAGGATAATATTTTTTTATATAACGTATATTGATATGGAAAGCTTTAACAATAGTTTATCCATATACATGTTAATGATAGCTTATATGGTTTACGCGACGTTTCGAAACATTCAAAGGGATTCGCACGTTTTACCCATCTGGGTAATCGAACCCTGGTCTTCGGCATGACGAGCGAACGCTTTAACGACTTGGCTACCCTACAGAGCCACACAATATATATCTTATTAGATTTATCCCGTAAAGTGCAGTTTCAGTTGATTTCGTTAAATAAGGTGAATGTTGTTTTAAGCCGCGGTCAGCCATACTACAGTTTTTATCACAGTGGCGTGTAAGTAATCGGATCAGCAGTAGCCAGTAGTTGCTGCATGAGCTCCAAACAAGACTGGGGAGAACACCATTAGAACCGCAGCGGTAAATGGGAATTTTTTTTAAAATGCTATAAATGTAGTTAAAATAACCCTTGCATGATCTTACATGCTCATGTTTACAACGATTAAGAGGGACTACGTTCCATGGTATCATGGCGATTCCAGTCAAGGTGTGGGTGTTTTATATATAGGGGACAAAACCCTATCCAAAGTCATGAGAATTCGCTGTTAACAGCATAGATTCCGAATATATCATTAGCATGGGTTTATGAATCACTATGAAAAGTGATGACACCAGGTGTTCGCGGAAAAAAGCGTCATGTGGGAAACTAAGGCACTTTGCTATTAAGGGTCATTATTATTTGTTACATTGACATGTATCATACTATTTGAATGAACGAATCCAGCATCTAATGCCTACCAATTGGCCTGAGTAAACAACCATAGAGCTATGATATTGTTTTTGGTTCAAGCAACCATAATCCGACACAGTGATATCATTCATAGGCCACAGTAACTTGTTAAGTAAAGAGATGTAATTAGCAGTAGTGGCTGAATTCACGTGCTCCGGGAACGTGCCTCGTCTTGCAGGTCGATCAATTGGGAATATTCTTACTGTGCACGTTATGTGTAATTCGTGGTGATGTGTCTTATTGCTGAGATGCACTGGGCACGCAGTAACAGTATGACCTTTCCAAATGAAGAGTTATGTGAGTGAATGAGTAGAATTTTGCATCGCAATATTATGTATATTGCCTAGGGAGCTGAGAATCACATATGAGAGCTCAATGATCCATTGACATTGGTAATAATAGTATCATGCCCACGACTGCAATACAAATATAAGCGCAAAAGCTCTTTCGATACGAGGGCTGGTTAAATATTTCTAAGACTGACTAACTTTCAACTATGGGCCATCACAAAGTGAACTAGTCAATATAGTACATTCTTGGAGTAGTTCAGTGCAAGTGTATTTGGTCTGTTGAGGCCGTTTGTATATTAGTGACAGTCAGTTAAACGTGATTGGGATCAAATGGACACAAAACTGGAAAAGAACGAGTACCGAGCAGTCGTTAAGTTTTTGATTTGCACAAGTGTATGGGATAAGTGCCCTAGCTATTCCACTGTTAAACGTTGGGCAGCCGTGTTTAAGGCTGGGAGAACAAGCCTTGATGATGACCCTAGGTCAGGCCGTTCCTCAAGGAGATAGAAAAACCTACACTGTTAGAAAGACGTATTACAATTGTTGAACTTGAGGAAGACACAGATCTAAACCATGGGCCCATTGAAATTATCATGCATAAACATTTACAGATGAATACGATGGGTGCAAAAGTTTCTAAATCATAATCTTTAGGTGAACCAACTGACATTGCCAGAGAAAATTTAGAGCTGATTGAGGAGGATTTCGTCAAATTAAAAACTAGTTACGGGTGATGAAACATGGGTCTACCACTATAATTCCGACTCAAAACGTTAATAAATGGAATGGCACCATTCCACTTCTCAGGCACCAAACAAATTCAAGTCTTCAAGATCAGTAAAGAAAGTTATGCCCACTGTATACTGGGATGCAAAGGGTGTGATCCTTGATTACTTAGAACGCCAAAAGACGATTACCGGTGCCTACTATGCTGATTTGCTTCATCGCTTGAGAGATTCTATCAAAGAACAGCGGCGAGATATGCTGACTGCTGGAGTTCTACTACTTCATGACAATGACTCTTCTCACACTTCCCGACTTACAAAGGCCGCTGTGCGACAATGTGGGTTCGAAGAGCTTCCTTACCTTCCATACTCGCCAGACCTGGCACCAAGTGATTTCCACCCGTTTCCTAAACTGAAAGAACCCCTTCGTGGAAAGCGCTATAACGACATCGATGACCTCAAAGCTGCCGTGAATGTTTTTTTTTCAGAGTGGCTAAAGAAAACTCTTTCTGACTGGAACTGAAAGCTTCACTATCGATATGAGAAGTTTATTGAAAAGCAGGGAGATTACATTGAAAAATAAAATAAAAAACTCTTTCACAATTGTTGGTTTTGTTTGTTAGGCTTAGACATTTTGGACCAGCCCTCGCATTTATACGAGTCGAGTGTACGATACAACTATATCAAGAGTTCATGAATCAATATCAAATAATGACAATACCAGGTGTTCCAAACCTTCTGTGAAACCTTCCTATCTTCTGCAACCAAAAGCAATTGCTCTGATGTAACCAGCCTAAATTCCTCTGTAAGTGATTATCAACATAATTTGTCTATTAAGTGAGGAGACTGTGCTGAGCCAGACATAAGACCTGAAATCAATACTTAGCCGTGTGTATTCTCAAGGTTTCCACAGTACTGGAACAAGTATCTTATTTCAAATGCTAAAGGATGATGCAGGAACTTGAAACGGAAGGAAAAGTACAATTTACCTCGTGGCAAAATAATATTTCATCATTAAATGTAACGAGCAGCAGAAAACACGTCGATGCCACACGTCATAAAACACATCCTTTGACCTACAAAGTACTTAACATATTTATCTTAAATGCATGTATAAGCGCCACGATATCTTTAGGATTCTAGTTCAGTGGCGACACATTAAATGTACAGCGTTGAGTCCCTTAGCCACCCAGGAGGATCTTAGAATCATTGGTTCAAATCTCAGATTCGCCCAGATTCTTGTCATGGATAAAGCTACTGTTGGTATGACTGTTGTCACTGAAATTGCCATGATAAAGCTGTTGATGTAAACCACAGGACTGTTGGTTGACTTACTTGCCACTGAAAGCTGAAGATGCGGGAAACGGAGAGGGACCAACAACGCCGATGTTAGAAAGAGCAAGACTGATGTGTAGCCATGCTTTTGACGACTTCAGCAACGACTTCTCTCGGAGGAACGTCAGAATGACCATCAAGTTGGAGATCACGCCGACGACGCCTGGTAATTAAATAAACTGATTTAGATAATGACAGTAATTTTCACAACCATGGCATTTTATCCAATTTGGTACCTCTGTGTTATTGTATCTACCTCTGGCTGTACATAGTCATGACATTGATGACACACTCAATTAACATATAAATCACCATGAAATTTTACACCGACTTAATGCGATCTAATACAAAATTGTTTTGCATAGTCCTGTTGTTCAGCCTCAGACCTATCAAGGTCAACAAATCTGATTTTGTCCTTTTTGATAAATCTTTTTGATAAAGCATTGAATTTTCTGTCCCTTTTGACCCTAATGTGAGTGACAAGATTCAGGAAAAATATGGCCAATATGCGGACCTCGCTTTCGAAAAGTCACGCTTGCATCCTAAATACCAAGTGGTCCGACTCCCCATTGTTCTCGGTGTCTTGGGTTTGGTACCTCCCAATCTGTTGACTGACATTAGGAGAGTACCCGCGTTTGCTACCAGGAATACAGCCCTTCTGACAATGTAAGTAATGCAGAAGGCTGTGGTGTTGGGGAGTCCTACATTCTTCCAAAGGTTCTGGGTGGGTTCGAAGGAGCAGCTTTTCTGGGAGAAGTCCCATTCGCTGTCTGGGCTGCGTGTAGAGGGGGCAAGGGCCCTGAGCTGATGATGAGCCTAACCAGCCTGACTGTGCCAGGATCACCCAAACCCTCTTTGCTGCATGTCTGTATTTTAATCTGCATTTAATCATAATAATTGCACAATATTTTACCCAAGCATGCTCAAAGTCCACCACGTAAAACTAAACCTTTCGAAGGGTCATTGAACGTTCAATTTGCATTCTCAGCTCAATATACAAACCAAGCTTGCTGTTAGGCGTCAGCAGGTTTGCATCCACGTTACATATCTCAACCTACCTTTTGTCCGTTTGCTGCAAACCGTACCAATGAAATGCAACATAGATATGAAATCCAAAAGCAACAATTGGTCCTAAATGGCATGAAAGTAATTTTTTTGTCCATAACAACTCGTCACCATAGTTTCAGACATTGTCATGGTGGGGAGAAAAAGTTGTTTAACAAACTGTCATGTAATTGTTTCAATGCCGCTGTTATAAGGGGTCTGCGCAATAAACATAACCGCTGAAGGGCATCCCGGAACACAGGGATGGTCTCGAAACTTTTATTCTGAAATTACTCTGAACTGAAATAGTAATTTGACTTACAGCTGCGTGATCTAAACCATCTCTTTTACAATATGAAGCTTATTTCCGGTCTCAACTTTGTCCATGCAGCCTCTCCGACCTGCAATTATCTTAAACCTGAACTATCAAGTTTTTCAAATTATCTGTGAATTTCATCACGTACCGTATTGTAATGATATATTGAGCTTGTTCTGTTTATTTTATTATTTGTATTTTGAATTAGCTGAATAGCAATAGCAAGAACATCACTAACATTGCTCTGTGAATAGTTTACAGATTAGCATTGTATATTCCGTTTAATAACTTCTAGAGAAAGATACGCTTCTGATTTAAACTTTTCATTTGACATGATTTTATTACAGAACAGGCAGTTGTAGATTGGCCTAACACGCGCAAATTTCACGTGCGAATGTAGGGCCGTTCAGTTTACAGTGCAGATCCACTTGTAACAACGGCATTGAAACACCAACAATTACATGATCGTTTGTTAAACAACTTTTTCTCCCCACCATGATAATTCTGCAATTATGGTGTCGAGTTGGTATGGACAAATAAAAAAAAAATCATGCGATTTAAAAGGAATTGTTGCTTTCGGATTTATATCTATGTTGCATTTCATTGGTACGAATTTGCAGCAAACGGACTATAGCGTCAAATGGAACAAGGTCACTTGCCTATAGAGACACCGTTTTTACAGCTCAAATCTAAACCTGAAAACTGTGAAGTTTGCCGTGGGCATCAGCCATCTAATACCTATCCTCGTATTGCAGGGGGTGGTCGGGTAGCCTAGTGGTTAAAGCGTTCGCTAGTCAAGCCGAAGACCCGGGTTCGATTCCCGACATGGGTACAATGTGCGAAGCCCATTTCTGGTGTCCCCCGCCGTGCTTAAGGCGGCATAAAACCATACTCACTCACTCGTATAGCAGAAATAGGAACTGCAGCGATGTTTGCACCGTCATCCTTTTCACAAATTCGTGATAACATCCAACATAAATGTCATCAAAATGCAACGTAACAAATACATTAAGTTTAATAATTCAGTTTCACTTAACAATAATGTTATTGGTTGTAGTGAGGAATTTTTAAAGCCGTTTTTTGTGTGCTCAGAAATCAAATCATCGATCGTTGAGTAAGAACTCGCGTGTGACACTGAACCTGTTTTTATATGTAATATCATATATTATTTGTTTCGTTGAGCAATAAGAAGCAAAAATTGCTCTCGCCTTCTTAGAACCTGACTGGGATAGTGTTCGAGAAGATATGGTCATTGAAATTGAAATACACCACTGCAGTCAGCGCGAATTAAACCTTGTGCAGTGACAGTGTTTAAATCTGTGATGCGGGGGCACGGGCGGCCCTGTTGTCTAAGGCGCCGCGATTCGCTGTGCAGGGTTGCGTCCCTTTGGCACGCCAGAAACCTATGATCGTGGGTTCGAATCCCGGTTCGCCCCGATTATGTTTCTATGTTTTATGAAACCGGATAATAGGCTTCACATATTGTACCATGTCGGGATTCGAACCCGGGTCTTCGGCGTGTCGAGAGAACGCTTTAACCACTAGACTACCCGACCGTACAGAGTTAATAAGAAAATGGGTCGAGTAATTCAGAAAAATAAAACAGCATCGTACTGGTTCTTTTGAATTATACTCCATGTTTCTAATTATTGGTGGGGGCACGGATGGCCCAGTCGTCTAAGGCAACGCGATTCGATGTGCAGAGTTGCGTCCCTTGGGCACGCCAGAAACCTATGATTGTGGGTTCGAATCCCGGTTCGCCCCGATTATGTTTCTAGGTTTGTCAGCACCATACCCGTGCTCGTTGGTTTCACCGAGGTGGTAAACGTCTGAGACTTGCAACACTTCGGGCTTTCCTCCCACATTAAGCTGACACGCCGTGATATAACTGGAATACTGTTAAAAACGGCGCTAAACCCAACTCACTCACTCACTTAATCTGTGATGCGTTCTCACGAGCGTTCTTCAGCATTTGACAAAACTAAAATGACAGGTAGAATACGAAATGTGTACGGGGTATCTCAGACCTTTCTCAGAGTCATAGTTTCCGTTGCACCGTCATGGAAAGAGAAAATATACAGATGGTATGGTGTGACTATATGTATGTGTCTGTGCGACAGTGCACAATAAACTGAACACAGGCCACTTAACGTTAATCATCTCTTACAGTATGAGTCTCTAAGCTTCCAGGAATAGGTCCCAAGATATCCCAGATTTGACGCGATTATGATGTGCTCGTCGGTTTCGCCAAAACGATAAACGTTTACTGAGATGACCATCGATCCTCATGGTCATCGTAAAATAACACCGACATATATCTCCATGGCAACACACTGTCTTGAGAAACCCACACTTACATCCAATATGTAAACTGGCCTATGATTAATGGTATTGATCTCTCCAGCTGGCAATCCATACTGCATCGAGACAGGTGTCATTAATCCATTTGTAATACGTTTAGTATAAATAAGTGTGTCTGTGTGTATGTGTGTCTCTGTATGTGTGTTTGTGTGTGTGTGTGTGTGTATGTGTCTGTGTGTGTATCTGTGTGTGTATGTGTGTTTGTGTGTGTGTGTGCATGTGTCTGTGTGTGTATCTGTGTGTCTGTATGTGTGTTTGTGTGTGTGTGTATGTGTCTGTGTGTGTATCTGTGTGTGTGTATGTGTGTGCATGTGTCTGTGTGTGTATTAGTGTGTGTGTGTATGTGTGTGCATGTGTCTGTGTGTGCATGTGTCTGTGTGTGTATGTGTGTGCATGTGTCTGTGTGTGTGTGTGTGCATGTGTCTGTGTGTGTATGTGTGTGCATGTGTCTGTGTGTGTATGTGTGTGCATGTGTCTGTGTGTGTATCTGTGTGTGTGTATGTGTGTGCATGTGTCTGTGTGTGTATCTGTGTGTGTATGTGTGTCTGTGTGTGTATCTGTGTGTCTCTTTGTGTGCATGTGTCTGTGTGTGTGCATGTGTATGTGTGTGTGCGTGCGTGTCTGTGTCTGTGTGTGTCTGTGACTCTGTGTTTATCTGTGTGTGTGTATGTGTGTGCATGTGTCTGTGTGTGTATGTGTGTATGTGTGTGCATGTGTCTGTGTGTGCATGTGTATGTGTGTGTATGTGTGTGTATGTGTGTGCATGTGTCTGTGTGTGTATGTGTGTGCATGTGTCTGTGCATGTGTCTGTGTGTGTATGTGTGTGCATGTGTCTGTGTGTGTGTATGTGTGTGCATGTGTCTGTGTGTGCATGTGTCTGTGTGTGTATGTGTGTGCATGTGTCTGTGTGTGTATCTGTGTGTGTATGTGTGTCTGTGTGTGTATCTGTGTGTCTCTTTGTGTGCATGTGTCTGTGTGTGTGCATGTGTATGTGTGTGTGCGTGCGTGTCTGTGTCTGTGTGTGTCTGTGACTCTGTGTGTGTCTGTGTGTGTGAGTGTCTGTGTGTGTATGTGTGTCTGTGTCTGTGTGTGTGCGTGTGTGTATGCGTGTGTGTGTGTGAGAGATTAAAGCACGACATAAGTAGTAGTAGAGAAACGACACTAATGTCACAAGAATGCTGACAGAACCACATATTTCATCAGGTCATCTCACACCTTATATCTGTAGGAGAATATCTCAACATAATTACAATTGTCGGTGTGGAAATTTACGTATGTTCTATAGAAGTCAGAACAGAACTGTGAAATTAACCAAGAAGTATGATCTGGAACTTAGAACAGGATTGTGACTTTGACCATTAAGAGAGCTAAGGAAGTCAGAATAGAATTGTGAATTAATTCAACCATTGAGCTACTATAGTATCAAAAACCTAGACAAGAATAACAAACGAAACATATGTCAATGTCTATTCCCGTCTTTGAGTAATAAATATTGTTGACTTTGTAAGGTACATTTGCAGCTTGTTCTAGCCAACTCATTATCAGTCGTTTCATCCTGAGAAGGTTGTTTCTGACAGGTGCGTGGGCGGCAACCACCACGGGGTATAGATGCTCATTATCATCAGTTGACACGTGTGTTGTCAACTCAAGGTACTAATTGACAAGGAAAAATTGCTGTTGGTGTCATGATGTATTTCACGGTTTTTCAGCGTGAGAAAATCAAATTGGAGGATGGGATTAAAATGCAAGTTCCGTTGTGCTTGACAGATGTTTATTGACTGAATCTGCTGGGTTCCTCCTCGATGTTGTGAACGTGGAAAACGTGGACAACGTGGACAACGTGGACACAACAATTTATAGCAGATGGCTCGCCAGTGAGATTTATGATATTGTGTGCAAGTGAGACGCGATCTCTATTGCGGTATGTAGATACGTACAGTTAGATTGAACAACATGAACATGAATAAATCGAGAACCAGTACGCGAGTATGATGATGACTAAATTACCCGTTATATTTCAAAGTAATAGCCATGTATTTTGATCTTTAAATATATGATGATTATCAAATCAAAATAACCACCTATGATTGAAATACCTGATTTGACTTACTCATCGCCGCTGAGGCTTATATTGATTTCTTGATCACTGTCCGTAGATATTTAGAATAATGATAAATACAATTGCTTTTTGCAATACAATTTAACGCGGTTAAATAACAAGTTACAGAGCTCTACAAAAAAAAACAGGATATGAATCTCTTGGATGTCTAGTTTCCACTATACCTCGAGTATTTTGTCTGCTCGTGTTAGGAGAATGTGTTTAAGACTACTGTCAACTCCGAATGTAACGAATTTCATTCAAATATAAAAAAACACGTCCCATTTTAATTCTGGAAACCCAAAAGTCCAGAAACTCTACGGTCTTTGCCCAGTCTCGGTTAAAGGTATTTACAAAATTAAAGATGCTGTTTTCATGGGAACATACCAAGGAAGAAAAAATGAAAAACAAAAACTCAATATTTAGACTATGTCGCCCATTAAATCAACATCCGACACTCGCTGTGCAGAGATGCGACACTTGGGAACGCCAGAAAACTATCATTTTGAGTCCTAATCCAGGTTCGCCCCGGTTATGTTTCTAGGTTTGTCAGCACCATACCCGAGCTCGTGGGTTTTCACGCCGTTATATAACTGGAAAACTGCTGAAAGCGGTGTTAAACTCAACTCACTCACTCATTCCTTAAAACACTGTTTTTCATATTTTATCACGTAAGTCGGTGTATCCACTGATGCATTGTCTACTTTCCACACATATCATAAATTACAAAGTCTAGATATCAAACAGAATTGGGCAAGGGCCTGTGGAGTGCACAAAGAGTTCAGAAAAATAAAACATTTCAGTGACTGCCGGTGAAAGATCCTTATGAAGAACAAAAAATCCCTGGCGTATTTAAATTAAGCTAGAGCCGAGTTCATTTAAAATCTAGTGTTTTCTAAATAAAAGGTGGGGGCACGTGTGGCACAGTCGTCTACCATTCGCTGGTACCATTTGAATCCTTTAGACGTCCAATAAGCTATTATCTTGATTAACCCTGACTATGGCTACTCATTCACTCACTCGAATAAGGTAAGTGTAGAATAAACATGTAGTCTCAAACGTTATAAGAGGATGGGCTCATGAAGTCCTTAAAATGCACTAATAGTAATCTAAAACAATGCACAACTACTGTGAGTACGGTCTCAGCCCGCTTTAGCAATATTCCAGGAACTTCATTGGGGGGAACATCAGAAATGGGCTGAATCCAATGTTGGGAATCGAACCCGGATCTTCGACGTGACGAGCGAATGCTTAAACCACTACGCTACCCCACCACTCCTATGTACAACTATCTAAATTAAGTCATCCTTCACTAATCGGAGACCTTTTCTATTTGTATATGTCAATACGTCCATGACATTTACATGCGATACACTGGTATGTTGTTGCGGTCAGAGTGACACTCAGCAGCATATAATGCCACACGTCGATAGTCCCTTGTGCATTATGTTAATGTCAAAATGAACCCCTTTCCCACAGAATCGTAAAATTATAACATCTGCAAAATAAACATTATATCAAAGCGACATGTAATTGTTTCAGAATATCTCTTCCGTATTTGTCGGCCTTGAAGTCAGATCGGCTCGATGATGTGGATACATCTATATGAGTCAAGTGCAGTCGGATCAATGGATAAATAGAATGTATGTTTTGTTTGTGATGCTCACCACTTTGAAACCACACTCTCCAATTGTGCCACTAGCATTACCAAATACCCTTAACTAAAGAACGTTAATACACGTGGTATGGCATCAGCGTTCTTGCATAACGTGAGTTAGATGTAAAGAGGGTGTATGTGAGGTGGATTTATGTGAGATGGATGTAAAGAGGGTGTATGTGAGATGGATGTAAAGAGGGTGTATGTGAGATGGATGTAAAGATGGTGTATGTGAGATGGATGTAAAGAGGGTGTATGTGAGATTGATGTAAAGAGGGTGTATGTGAGATGGATGTAAAGGGGGTGTATGTGAGATGGATGTAAAGAGGGTGTTTGTGAGATGGATGTAAAGAGGGTGTATGTGAGATTGATGTAAAGAGGGTGTATGTGAGATGGATGTAAAGAGGGTGTATGTGAGATGGATGTAAAGAGGGTGTATGTGAGATGGATGCAAAGAGGGTGTTTGTGAGATGGATGTAAAGAGGGTGTATGTGAGATGGATGCAAAGAGGGTGTATGTGAGATGGATGTAAAGAGGGTGTTTGTGAGATGGATGTAAAGAGGGTGTTTGTGAGATGGATGTAAAGAGGGTGTATGTGAGATGGATGTAAAGAGGATGTATGTGAGATGGATGTAAAGAGGGTGTTTGTGAGATGGATGTAAAGAGGGTGTATGTGAGATGGATGCAAAGAGGGTGTATGTGAGATGGATGTAAAGAGGGTGTTTGTGAGATGGATGTAAAGAGGGTGTATGTGAGATGGATGCAAAGAGGGTGTTTGTGAGATGGATGTAAAGAGGGTGTATGTGAGATGGATGTAAAGAGGGTGTATGTGAGATTGATGTAAAGAGGGTGTATGTGAGATGTATGTAAAGATGGTGTATGTGAGATGTATGTAAAGAGGGTGTTTGTGAGATATATGCAAAGAGGGTGTTTGTGAGATCACGTGTCATGTTATTGTGTTTCAACACAAACATTTATAGATATGCAATTTATAATCTGCACCAAGGGCACAATACTGAGCATCAAAATAAGCTTTCTGAACCTACATGTCTGTAAAACGTAAAAACAATAAGATCTAAGGATTAATACATACACACATAGGTCACAAGAGGACTTACCAAAGAGCATATAAAGAATCCCAACAACTGAGTGCTCAAAGCGGGAGAATTCTCCGGTTACCATTGTAGCGTCTACTTCTCTGCTCACGTCTGCTTGCAGCTGTCGTCTACTCACCAACTGTCGTCTGCGCGACCTTCTTCTCCCAGCTGGGTCAACTAGCAGCGAGAGTATCGATGACTGTCACGCTATATACTCTGGGCGCTGTCTAATTCCTCTCATCTCTTGGTCGTGATTCGCCGACCTGGTGATGTCCAGATGTACTTCCGCTAATGTGGAAAGGCCACATATTTATTTACATGTTTCACAGCATTAATACCTGGTCGATGTCATCTCAAATCCCCAATTACCCCGTGCTGACCATCCTCCTAATTGAGAGCTAATGTAACAGTTTAGGTTGTCCGCAACGAGTCGACAGGTGTGCAGAGATATCGGTCGCGATAATCCTCATTACAAACCAATACGATCTGATTCGTGCAGCCTGGCGTTTTCAAATGAAATATAAACTCACGACTCGTGAACAATTATATTTTTTCAAGCATGCAATAGTAATCTTATATAATTTAAAGGTCGATTCCCCACATGGCTTCAATGCGTGAAGCCCATTATCTGGTGCCCTCGACGCTATATTGCTGAAATATTAGTAAAAGTAAAACATATTCACTCATTTATTTAATATTTTTTAGCACAGAATACAGACCCTGTCAGACAGGTAGCCTAACCTTCCAGAAGATAACTGAAATACAAAACGTCAACGCCAGAGAATAATAAGTCTCCGTTATCTGCCGAAACAGATTTCACTGGGCGTAAAAGGCAAAATAGCAGTGAAGATAATATGAAAGGATCACTAAACATCCGTGAAGACAACAGGTGATCGCGAAAATGGTAAGCATGTCTGTCCTGCCATACCAGTAGCAATCGTCATTTTCCAACAATTTACATAAAATAATAAGTATTGTTATGAAACCAAACAGCGGTACTCCTGCCATACGACGTTGACCCGACAATCAAGTGATGGGTTAGACAATCCAGTGACACGACAGCGCAATAGTTGATGATTTTGTTTTTCAAACAAAAAAAGATATGTTAATTCTGAAAGTCGTCTGCGTATAAAGACAGAGATTCTGCTGCTTAGTAAAAAGACTAAGAGAGAAACGTTTAAGATATATGTTCCTCTTGCAACACAGAGGTGGGGTGGGGTGAAATTGGGTTTAACGTCGCATTCAAGATTACTGCACTTAATTAGCGACGTAAGGAAGCAGTTTAAAAGCTAAACGTTGGAAACAAATCGTAAATCCCAAAGTTGCAAGTTATTGGATCCGACAAAATCAACTTCAGTTACACCACAGCGTGTCAGATTAATTTGGGAGAAAAACACAGTTCAGGTCTTCCATGATTACCACACAGGCTAAAACCACAGGCACGGTGATGGTAATGATAACCACAGAAGTCTTATCAGGACGAATCTCACCCATGATCATAGAGTGTTTGCGAGCCCAGAGAACGCAACGAGGCACGCGGAAATGCTGTTAAGATGCTATTGGTCTGTTTTCTCTATATGACGCATGTCTGATAAAAGTAGTCATCATCATTCTAACATACATACACTAAAAGGGATCATTCCATCCCCAAATCCAAATGATCATATCAGCGTATCCTATATTCAGAACCCATACAAATATGTTGCTAATGTGCTCTCATGTGGGAAAAACAATAATAACGCCTCGCTGCTGTTCCTTGAAAAATATAGTAAACCTCAAGAAAACCACCAATGATCAGTTCTCGAAGCTCGGATAGATCATCAGGAAGTAAATGTGTTCGAATAACGTGACATTTGTGGATGTGTTCAAGCCTAATATCATATCATGCCAATGTCTATCATCCTTGTACAGTGTCCAGTAGCTGATTTGTTATCACTGTTTATCGATGTAGTTCCTTAACGACTGTAATTCATATGAAGTCACTGCCGACATTATCGTGGTGTCTTTGCCATGTATCATGGATTAAGTTCATCGTTACAGGCATTTTTTTAACCTTTTGCATTACTTTTTTTTACAAACAATCGATCTTGGTTTGGCTATTACATTTCAAGAATTAGCATTGTTAATATAAGTGACAAAATTATTTCTATATTTATAAGAAGGCAGTATCATGCATGCTTATGATACAGTCGGAATCGTTAATCGACTTTTAGCAGAGATTTGTTGTGGCTATGGAAAGGGGTTTTGTCGTTTTTAGTATACTACATACATCCAGGTATACAAGGCACAAAAACATGCTACATAGTCAATACATGCAGGTAGGATCTGCATAAAGCTTCATGCATACGTGCAGATGTGTAATGTAAAAACACTTCAAACATGAAGGTATAAAATGTACAAAGCATACATACTCCATACATGGATGCATGTTTAATATGCACAAAACATATTCCATACATGCAGGTACAATGCACAAAACATACTCCAGACATGTATGTATACAATGCACAAAACATACTCCAGACATGTATGTATAAAATGCACAAAACATACTCCAGACATGTTTGTATAAAATGCACAAAACATACTCCAGACATGTATGTATAAAATGCACAAAACATACTCCAGACATGTATGTATAAAATGCACAAAACATACTCCAGACATGTATGTATAAAATGCACAAAACATACTCCAGACATGTATGTATAAAATGCACAAAACATACTCCAGACATGTTTGTATAAAATGCACAAAACATACTCCAGACATGTATGTATAAAATGCACAAAACATACTCCAGACATGTATGTATAAAATGCACAAAACATACTCCAGACATGTATGTATAAAATGCACAAAACATACTCCAGACATGTATGTATAAAATGCACAAAACATACTCCAGACAGGTATGTAAAAAATGCACAAAACATACTCCAGACATGTATGTATAAAATGCACAAAACATACTCCAGACATGTATGTATAAAATGCACAACACATACTCCATACATGTATGTATAAAATGCACAAAACATACTCCATACATGTATGTAAAAAATGCACAAAACATACTCCAGACATGTATGTAAAAAATGCACAAAACATACTACGTACATGAAGGTGTAAAATACACAAAACATACACAATACTCCACACCTGAAGATATAAAGTGCTAACCATACTGCATACTCCATACATGCAGGTATACCCAAATACATGCATAAAACATTGTACATACTATATTAATGCAGGTATATGTTACACAAAATGTACATACTTATACTCATACATAAAATTCACAACACCTACCGGGCGGTCGGGTAGCCTAGTGGTTAAAGCCTTCGCTCGTCACGCCGAAGACCCGGGTTCGATTCCCGACATGGGTACAATGTGTGAAGCCCATTTCTGGTGTCCCCCGCCGTGATATTGCTGGAATATTGCTAAAAGCGGCGTAAAACCATACTCACTCACTCACAACACCTACCACATAACATGCACAAACCATACACTATGCATGCAGGTATACATCCACAAACCATACACTATGCATGCAAACATAACATGCACAGACCATACACTATGCATGCAAATATAACATGCACAAACCATACACTATGCATGCAGGTATACATCCACAAACCATACACTATGCATGCAAACATAACATGCACAGACCATACACTATGCATGCAAATATAACATGCACAAACCATACACTATGCATGCAGGTATACATCCACAAACCATACACTATGCATGCAAACATAACATGCACAGACCATACACTATGCATGCAAATATAACATGCACAAACCATACACTATGCATGCAAACATAACATGCACAAACCATACACTATGCATGCAAACATAACATGCACAGACCATACACTATGCATGCAAATATAACATGCACAAACCACACTATGCATGCAAACATAACATGCACAAACCATACACTATGCATGCAAACATAACATGCACAGACCATACACTATGCATGCAAATATAACATGCACAAACCATACACTATGCATGCAAACATAACATGCACAAACCATACACTATGCATGCAAACATAACATGCACAGACCATACACTATGCATGCAAATATAACATGCACAAACCACACTATGCATGCAAACATAACATGCACAAACCATACACTATGCATGCAAACGTAACACGCACAAACCATGCACCATACATGCAGGTATACCTTGCACAAACCATTCTCCATACATGCAGATAAAACATGCACAAAAAACACACTACATGCAGGTATCAAATGCATAAAATGCACTACATACTACATTACTGCAGGTAGAGGATGCACAACATACATGTTCCAGACTTGCAGGTGTAACATTCACAAAATTTAAATTCATGCAGGTATAAGATGCGCAAAACATAGTACATTCTACATACATACAGGTGTAAAATGCACAAAACAAACACACTCCGTACATACAGGTATTAAATCCACAAAACATTCTACGTGCGTGTAGAAGTAAAATGCTTAAAACATACTACATTCTCATTGATATATTTAATGCATGAATGTATACGATGCACAAAACATCTTACATATTCCATACAAGGGGTTATAACATGGACAAAAAGATGGTACACATGCAATGCATGCAGGAATTATATGCACACAAATGAACTATGCAATGCACAAAGATACGACAGGTATAAAATGCACAAATACATTACAGATTACATGCTACATGCATTCAGGAATGCGATGCATAAAATACATATACTATAACTCTGAAGAATAACCTCAGAGACAGCCTCCAGTGTCTGCAACAAGGTCAGTGTTAAACTCTGTTTACCAAGAATCTGTGTAGTCTGACTGTGCTAAGGTCATGCTAACACTATAGCCTGTCAAACTCCAATTGTCTAGCGTTTGTCTGAAAAAGGCAAACTGACGTGTTTTGAGTGAATGAATTGGAGCAGCATCAATATTTCATTCTAATTGATATTCTTCAGTTGATTGGGATTAACGAAGGAAACGCAAGCTGCCACTGCTACAAGATACATAATTACATAAAGAGGAGAAAACTATTTATTTTTTACAGCTAAACTCATTTCCCCCGGCTCATCCACTGATCTAATTGTGAAACAACAATTGTAAAAGTGTTTTTAATTTTCTTTTTCAACCTAATTGCCCTGCTTTTC